GAAAATTACTTAGAAGGAAAAGCATATTCTGCAACTATAAAAGGTTCAACGGAGAACTCCTCATTTCAATATTTCTTAGAGATACCATTGAATCCTACCCAGGCGAACTCGTGAGCAACTCCGGTAGCAGGAAAAAAAGCTGAGTATTAAAAATTAATGGCCGTCATAATCGATATTAAAATCATAGAGCAAGTTCCACAACCATCAGCGAATTTGAAGACGATGTCTCAACTCTCAAGTGGGAGAAGACGAACAAAGATTTAATGGCTGTGTTTAGGGTTGTGTTTGTTTTTTTACGTTTTTTAAGAAATAAAAAACAAAAATGAGAATAAAATAGTATTTGATATAATTAAAAATAAAAAATAAAAATAATTTTTTAATTTAATATAAAATAAGAAATAAATAAAAAATAATTTTAGTTATTTTTTATTTTTTATTTTTATTTTCTCTCAAATAAAGAGAGAGACATTAATAAATTTTTTTACATTGAAAATAATTTTTTAAAAAAAATATCAAATGCATTCTTAAAAATAACCTTTTGTCTGTGATTAAAAATATTTTTATTTTTATTTTTATATAAAAAATAAAATTATTTTAAAATAAATTCTAAATGCATTGAATATGTTTAATTTTAATTTTCATTCTTTTTCTAATTAGTAGAGTATAATAATGTAAGGTAGAGACCATATTTAGATCTCTAAACACCACCTTTATATTGTTCCCTATCAATAGGGAAAAGTAACCATCCTCTGCCATAGAATTTCCCATTTATAGATTATTTTAAAATCACATGTTTGCTCTTCTTATCTTATTATAAACATAAAAGTATCTCTTAAAATATTGAAACCAGTACGAAAATAACCCCTGATAGGTTAAATTTTTTTTATAAATCAAATACTACCCTCATTAATCTATATTAAATATTAATTTATTAAAAATTAAACAAACACATTTCAAAACTTAAAAAATAGAAAATTCAATGACCCCAAAAAATAAAAATTCTAAGTTCCAAAAAAAGTTTATTTTCTTTAATTTTTGTTAACGAATATTTGAGATTGTAGTCATTAAAGAAATATTAGAGAGATAAATATTTAGCAGCACATGTGAGAAAAATAGTTCTTGGGAAGGTTAAAGCAAAAATAAGTAAAATTAAGCATTTATAAGTGCCATTATTGAAAATAAAAGAGTATTATAAAATATCGCAAGAACAATTAGTTAAGTAGAAAAATATTTGAGAAAAATTATTTAAATAAACTTTATTAGAGAAAAACTATTTGAATTTGACATGTTTGAGAACATAAGATAATATTTTAAAGATAAAATGGATACACCAATTGCATGTTTTAATCAAAATGCATGTTTTAGTTTAATATTGTATATGAAGATAATATATAATAAAGAAAAAATGTTATAATAAATAGTGGTCTCTATAAAAGAAAAATAATTTTAAGAGGGTATTTAGAAGAGAAGCAATATAAGATTGAAATGGTGGAGATATATTTGAAAGGTTAATTTGGTAGGTAGAAAGTAAAAGAAATAAGTATTGTAAAAAAAACATATTTTAAAATATATTATTTTAAAAGAAAGAGCAATAAGGGGAAAAAAAAAACCAATAAAGAAAAGAGAAGACAAAATACAGGAATAACTTCTCTTTCACTCCCTCTCTCTCATTTTAAACGTACATACAATTGTCTAAAAATTTAGGGGGAATAAGAGAAATACCACTTTCGTATAGTTGGTATTCAAATACATTTTTATAAAGAATGAAGTGTAATTTATGCAACCGGAACAAATGAATATGGTATCTAGTCAATTAACACAATATTTTTACTGTTCTCCTTGATCCCAAAGCACTCTTTCGTTTCACCTAATATCCAACAGTTTCAAAATCCTCGGACGAGAAAGTTGTCTATGACTTGTGACCCATAAAAGATTGAGTTTTGAAATTCGAATGACGATATATTTAAACGGACTACTTGAGCCGTTATTTTCCTATTAACTTTTGCAGAATATGTTTTCTATTATCTTGTTTTGTTTTCTTTTATGTGTGTGCGTGATTAAGGAGTTGTTTAGTTGAGAGATTCGTACCCTGATTCGAATCATAATTCATGATTCGCTATAATATTTTTTCTCATAAAAAATACACGTAAATTAAAAATTATTATAATCTTATGATTCTAATTTCTAAATCAAACGTCTCTTAAGATACATAATCTTAGAAGACAAAAATAATAAACCAGCATAGAGCAATAAATTGACGTAATCCATATCTTATGATTTATATGAAGCACAAATCGTAGAAAACGACAATATTATCATCCCCAATTTCTTGAAAGCGACGAATGATGTTGAAATACTGACCTTAAGTAGTACAATGCATTGCTTCAGAGTACAAATTGCGTATCGCAAAAAAGAACATACCTTGACTAAGATTCCAAGAATGCTTGCCCAGAAAACTTTCATAAAATCTTAGCACTTTTTCATAATTATTTCCTAACGATTCTTAGCACATTCTTAATAACAAACAAAAAGCATTGTACTATCCCACCAGCGAAGGAAAGTATAAAGACAATGATGTTGAAAGCAACCTGCGAGGAAAATAATTATAAAATATGTGACTTAGCTTCTCATTTGTGCAAATGATCACATTCCATAACAAAGAATAAAACTTAATGCTTCCTGACTTCATAAAATTTTCTTATAATTTGCTTTGGAAAGATCTTGGTTCTTCCAAGTTTTGGTTGTCAAAAGAAAGGCCTCATTAAGTTTGAGAAGTTTTAGCACCGACTGTGGAAATCCATTAGTCAAGTACAACATCATATTGTAAGCTTAAAGTAGCATATGAGTCTCACATATATACCACTAAATAATGCCATAAAAAATTTATAAAAAAAATGTAATAAAAGAAATCGATTTTGTGTAACAACTATAAACTATTTTCCTTGAAAAATGTTGGACAAACTGTATATGTCAAATTTCAGAAAGCAATTGAAAAAAAAAAAAAAAAAAAAAAAAATAATAAAATTTTAAAAAAAAAATAAAAAAAAAAAAAAAAAAAAAAAAAAAAACTCAGTTTCACTTCCGCGTAACCAAGACATCTCTTGATATCAGTATTTGAAAAGCTAAAACCTGGTTAGTTTTTTTAGTTTGAATTATAATTTTTTTATTACAGTATTTTCTCTCATAAAATTTTAAATTAAAAAACGAGACCCAAGTAAATTAATTATCTTAAACCTCATTCATTTAACTGATTTAAATTTTTAATTTTAAGTTTCTACAGTTAAAAACTATTAAAAAATATCACATATAATTTTTTTTTATTATAATTAAAAACTCTTAAAAAATATCACATTACAAAACGAACGAGGCTTTTGTATATTAACCGATACCAAACTATATGGGAAAAAGTTACCGTTGACTTTCATAGCCATCTAGTTCAACGTGTCCACACTAGAAAAATAATTCATTTGAAAAAAAAAACTTTATTCTATTACTATACACATGTAAGGGTGTGAAACAGCGAAAGCATATCCAAAACACTTTGTTTTAAAAAATAAAAATAAAAATAAAAAATCCATAACACATTAATGATTATAAGTCCCACTATAAACCTTGACAGAAGAAAAATTTGGTAAAAGTTAGGACCATGACAAATAAGAACCAAACAACGCGTATGGACAGTTTGATTAAGCAGCCACACTACTAGTTGCATTGCACATGTCGATGCAAAAGAACGTCCAGATATATAGGCCGCTACCGCCGTAAACAGCTTTCTAATAATGTTCCAAATCATGCTTTTTGACTTTCGACAGACAATTTTTTCTTTTTTTTTCCCTTGAGTATCGATCTTTCAATCACTTCTACAATATTCCCCTGTGTGAACGACTTTCACAAGCAAACCCCCGGCAGCTTATGTGTTTTTTTTCTCAGTACAAACAGACCAAGTCTTGAGTGCGATCCTAGCCAGGTTGTCCCACGTTCCTTTATGCGTCACAGACAAAAAAAAAAAAAAAAGATTAATGGACATAAATTTTGACGTTAATAGTAAAAAAAAAGAAAAGAAATAAAATGGGATAAATATAAGATTGGATCGAATATAATTGCGAAAAACATGTCACATAAAAACAGGCTTAGATCGCGTGAACTATTCTTGGAAGAATTGCCACTAAAAGGGATTGAATCCTTAACACATAGTATTGCAGTTGATTCAAGTCGTGTACATTTTGGGGACTTTATTTTTTTAAATCACATAAAAAAAGAGATCATCAGTGTTATCTTACCCCCATCCTCTATCCTCATTATATACAAATATTAATCCCACACGGTTTGGAAACGTGGGATTGTTACTAATTTCAAGTCATTGAGCATGTTTTCTCTTGAAAAATGAGGAATAAATGTGGTCTCTTTCTCTTTCTTTCTTGATAATTTGGAAGAACGTGGTCGGCCAAGCAGATAGTACTGAATCAAGAAGACAAAATAAAAATGTGTGTATATGAATATATATTTTTATATATGGTACTTCAAAATAGAGGGACAAGACAAAACAACACGAAAAGCAATATAGGATGATAGATAAAAGCAAGGCAAGGCAAAAAAGTAATCCCATGGCCATGAATGCTTATTCTGGTATGGCAAGCGTGTGAACACAGACTCAAAAGTCCCGTTTATTTTACCGATTTAAGTTTAAAATTTGAGTTTTGTTACAGTAAAAAACTTTTAGAAACAATCACAACTAACTTTTTTACTACAGTAAAAAGCTCTTACATAAAATCACATCTCAACTCAAATTAAAAAATCGAATCAGTGAACTAAACGGACCCAAAATTAATTTCATTCCATCAAAAAAAATGAAAAATAAACAATAAAAAAACTACCATGTTTATGGAGCCACCTATATATGCCATATGCATTCCCACTACAAGAGCCACCATTATTGGCCTTCTTTTCACTTCTCAACTACCCAATTTCACATTATTGCTTTAGTATTAATCTGTCCTCTTCTTAGCTTCATCCGAAAAAAAACCCATCTTTTGTATTCTATAAATAGAATTCATCACTTTCAGTCTCACGCCTAATCTCTTTCAATTCACACAAAAAAAAAAAAAACTTTTTTTTTTTTTTTTAATTCTCATTCAATATTCAACTGAGGATGCATTGGAGAAAAGGCAAAGATTTGGCCACATTAGTGGTGGTTTTTGGTTTGTTAATCCAAGCTTGCTTCTCGGAGATTAACAGAGGAAGCTTTCCAAAGGGCTTTGTTTTTGGAACAGCCTCCTCTGCTTACCAGGTTAGTTTCTCTCTAATTCCTTCTTAATCAACACGTCTGTCTTTTGACATAAAATTTCATAACACTACTACTACAACGTTTTTTTTTTCTTTTTCCTTTTTTTTTTTCGGTTATATCTTCTTCATATCATATGCATGGATAATTGTTTTCTTGGACTTTTCATCTGCGAATATTTGTTTCCCGAGACTTTTTTCTGCCTGTGATCTTGTTCGTTAGTTTACTGAGGAAAATGTTAAGGCTTCTGTGGATGAATCCGTGAGGAGAGATAAGAGTGGTGAATACTGAAATGAATACAAGTACAACAATGGAAAAACGACATAGTAAAAGAAAAACTACTTCGCGTTTTTATTTTTTTTTACTGTCGTATAAGTAATGCCAGGAATGTTTCAGAATAGTACAGCTTATGTGACGTGTACGGAATTCGACACGAATTCATTGCGGAGCGAAAAATAAGGGACAACCATCGAAATTCCATCAATTACCGGGTTTTCAGTTTTCCATAAGAACCATTCTCCTAATCTCTCTTTCTCTCCTTAAATATATATATTTTTCAATAATTAACACTATTTTTTGTTGAGGTACTACCGTATGACTACCGTCATAATTTTAGGTTAAGACTTAAGAGAATGATATCTCTACTTACCATAATTATAAGTAATATCAACATTTTTTTTTGGAGAAAATAGTAATAGCAACGTTTATTTGCCTTGTCGGTGAGTGATAGCAACGTTTGGAACTATATATTAATATCTATATGAAAAGGTACTGTTTATTATCCACTAAATAATATTTAGATGAAGTGGAGTAATTGATTGCAACAAGAAAGGAATATATATATATATATATTAAAATTTGAAATATACGTATCGGTGGTCTAGAAAGATCCTATTTGAAAAAATTATGCTTTTATTTTTAAGCATTAAGGGTGTGTTTGGTTGGGTGGAAAGGAATGAAATAAAATGGAATGTAATTATAGTTTGATATTTAGTTAGATTTATAATAAAGGAATGATTATTCATCCATTTTGAGTGAATCATCATTCCTTCCTCATATGGGAGGAATGACCATTCTAAGTTCTTTTTTTATTTTCTTTCCATAATTACTCTTCAATAATATAATACAATTATTATATAATAATTATATCTTATAATATAATATATAATAAAAAATATTATAATATAATATAGTTATAATAATATAATAATTAACTTATAATATAGT